AATAAGGATGCTTTATCTATGTAATTATTTACTTTTGTACTGGTTATAAAGGAAAGCATTTAATAACACATAACTGTGTGTAATTATTTACTTTTATACTGGTTATAAAGGAAAGCATTTAATAACACATAAATGTATGTATTTATAAATCCGAATCACCTTCATCCAAAGCTGTAGCTGACCTTCCACCTCCGGTCATTGTTCTTGGTCCAGTCAACCAAACTCTTCCTCATCGCACGTTGGCGATGTTGCCCTGCGAAGCCTCGGGAACTCCCACTCCACACGTGACATGGTCCGTGAACTCCTCACCGTTGCCGAAGAATGACCCACGTTACGTTGTTCTGGACACAGGAACCTTACAGATAGACAGTATGTGTAGACTTATTATAAAGATTATTATCGTTATCATATCTACTTGTATTTTTTCATATCTTTTAGCAGTTAAATAAATATTGTTAAAAGTGGATTAACCATAGTTTTAAAGATAGGAAACTTGCCACGAGATTATCATGTTCTGATTTGTTGAACGTAATGGATTATCTTTATTATTATTTAAAACTAATCTTTCCTTAAGCACCCATATTATTAACCCGAATAATCCTGTCGTTATATTTCGCCGCTCTCCAATTACATTGTATTCGAAATTTACCAAACTGGAAACACTAGGTGTCGCTAGGAATTGTAAGTGGAATTCGCCTAAAAATAAAAGGAGTCATCGCCGTCTTTGGTAAATTTTTACAATAGGTTAAATGAAGCAAGTAACGAATTAGATAAATGTTTACATTAAACAGACGTGTTTAACGGTTATTTTTTTTCGATACTTTTTTATCGCTTTAACAATATGTTACTAAATTTTGTAAATAAACATCACCAGGAAGGAAGATAGGTCTGCCTAAACTCAACTGTGCCTACAGTTCTAATCTGACAGAGAAGATAAATTTGATAACAAGTTCAAGACGCAGCAATCGGAAAGCGGCGGAAGATAAGAACTGGATTATTCCGGTTACAATATCATAGAGTATTATTACCTCGTAATACGTTTGCTAGTATGTAAAAATTTACCCAGCGTTTAGTTATATAAACAAACTTATTAAGTGAAAATTAACATCTTCAACTTTTTATTCACAGCGTATCACGGCAATACAACCATAAAAATACTGTCTACGTTGAATGTTTATTACGTACTAAAATGTTGGTGTATGTACATTTTATTATTAGAAATTATCAACTAGATTCTGGACGACTGGCGTTAGGCTTAAAAATTGACATCGTCTGTTGTAGCTGTTTCTTACAACAAAGGGAAAAAACTGGCTTTACTTACATGTTTTAACAATAACACTGTCGGTTACACTGTGAAAAGTACAAAGGGACTCGCATGAAAAGCAACTTAGAGTCTGAAAATTATTGCCACATTGTATAAAGTCATGCACAGACACGATTTAGAAGATGTGTGATAAAGATCATTCAGAATGGACAGTCTGACAAGCTCTTTCTTGTAATACGACAGCGAAATTAAATTAACATAGGAGCAATACATACAAGCACTTAGTTTCAAAATTAATCAACGTATTAAGTCATAACAGTTTAAATGTTTAGGAAATAGGAATAATACCTACCAGTCAGATTAAACTATTTCCCATTAATAATTATGACTTGTTTATTAACATAAATATTATTTATTATCGTAAGCTACATAAACAAATTGAACTGTTATCTAACACTTACTAGCTGAAACTACATAAACAAAATTATAACTTACTAACAGAAACTATTTAAAAAGATTGAACTGGTTATTAGCATAATCCTGACTTACTGGCAGGACACGCACACAAGCAGCACAACAGGGATATTTAGTTTCAAAACGTTTACAGACATATCACACTATTTCACACCAGTTGATATAGAAACAGCACTAGGATATTTTAAATAGTTCTTTCCCAATAGTTTCTCATTTTACTGTCCCTGCAGGTTTACAACGTTCAGATTCTGGACTGTATACGTGTACTGCCTCCAGCGAGATTGGGGCAACATCCTGGAGTGCATCTCTTTCAGTAGAATGTAAGTGATCATATTGGAGCTTAGTAATAAGTAGTATAGAGGTCTTCACTATCTTTTATACACAGATACTCTTGTATTAATACTCCACCTTTTATTTCAGAGTGGTAGTTGCACTTGGTCTTACTGTAGTTGGAATTGAATATGCTTGTTTTTCTAAAGTTTAATTTCTATATATGTTTTAGTGTATTTGATAGTTTCACTAAATTATATGGTAGAGAAAAGTACACATATAGAATTAAATATATCACTGCTGAATTATAGAACAAAAACTTAAAATAACTGGAAAGAATTAATTCATCAGTTGGATATCCTTGCTGTTAGCGGTACTTTCGGTCGTAATCCCAATAATATCTCAAGAGATTTGGCCAGCGTAGGAGGTTTAAATCCATACGTTACCCATGTAAAATAATCATAATAATAAGTAATACGTAATGCAAAAATAAAATTTATACATACATTAAATATATTAATCAATATTGTAAATGGACACAAGCATTCAAGAGACAACAGAACTTAAGAAACACAAGAAATGCTAGTTGCAGTGTCATCGATTCCCTGTTCATCATGTCTTTTCTTTTTTAAATTTCACAAGTAAATGGAAAACAATTTCGTAGTAAGACACAAATCAATGAAGTTTTTACTAGTAATTGTCAAAATAAAAACTGGTAAAGTTTTACTTAAAATCTGCAAAAAATAACACGGAAACTCGGCATTTACAACCGAAGCTCCTTTTTTATTATTTTTTCCTAAGTTGCATCCACGTTTGTGTTTTATTTTATTCTCGTCAACTGGTTATTGTAAACCAGGGCACTACAGTTTTTTTATAATGAGAAAATTGAATGAAGATGTAAGTTTATGATGTACTCACTAAGCACGCAAGGTATGACATAATTAATCTTATCCACGAACCACGTAGCTCCAAGGAATCCAAACGCCATCTTTCATCGGATGCCTGATCCATCATCTTTTCCTGGACCACCAAGCAAGCCAACTGCTGTTAACATAACAGAAACAGCCGTAACGTTAACGTGGCGCCGGAATCCGGATGTTGGGCAGTCTCTTCTAATTGGTTACAATGGTAAGAGGAAAGAACGTGTACTAGTAATCGTATTTTTTGTAACACAATCCTTAAACCGTGTGTGTGATCTCTCTATCCTACTTAATAGCACGGTGTATTTATAACACAATTATTTAATACTTGAGACACTTGAATACAAAGTTATATGGCAACACCATATATATATAAAAAAGCGTTACACGAGCTTAAACGCAACTTAAGAAAAGTTAGTCGTGCAGTGAAGTTTTCTGAACGCTATCTGCCGTTATTCAATTCTTTGAACCTTTAGCCACTGTTAAAATATAAAGATGTATTTAATATTGCACAGTGTGATACTGCAATGTCTACAGTATGTACATCCATACAGACTCACTTGTACAAATATAAATAGGGAACATGTGCAAAGTAGACACAAACTGAGAATATACAAATCTATAATCATAACTTTGTTTTAAACAGTGGGCTCTTTTGGTTTGTCGATGGACAGAGCACAGATAATCCATTTGTTTTGAACTTCGTGCAAAGCTACACGAGGGCTATCTGCGCTAGCCGTCCCTAATTTAGCAGTGAAAGACTAGAGGAAAGGCAGCTAGTCTTCACCACCCACCGCCAACTATTGAGCTACTCTTCTACCAACGAATAGTGGAATTGACCGTCACATTATAACGCCCCCACGGCTGAAAGGGCGAACACGTTTGGTGTGACGGGGATTCGAACCTGCGACCCACAGATTACGAGTCAAGCGCCCTAACCACCTGGCCATGCCGGGCGCAAAGTAAGGAAGGAGTACAGTATCTAATCTCGTATTTTATACAATTTTTGCTTCCTTAACGGGTACTCTTAGCTAGTTACTATAAACTCAAACGTATAAATGATGACTGCTGTGAAGCAGTGAGATAAACGATCTTCTGAGGTCACCAAACCCAGATTTTAAGATAATGCAAAAAATGTTTTTCTAACAGAACAAAACTTTACTTCACTCAATTGGCTGAATTCGTGAGAATAAAAATGTATTGAGACTTCGTCAGATTCATATTGACCTTCCTCGAAGTTTAACCGACTGAGTTAAGAAAAAAAAAAAACACGGAATGTTTAAACACAACCCGAACAAAACTGGATTCGCTTTAAACGGGTAAAAAGTAGGCGGGTCCTATATTCACCGTTGGTTGCAATAAGAATTGGAATTTTTATATTTGTGGGACATATGCGCACGTGAGCTAAACGGATTGGTCAGGGACCCCTTAAGAGTCAAGTGTAGCCACTTACTGACCAGAGAGAAAGCAGCAAGCTACCAGCACCCACGCCACAAATACTTTGTCCTATTATTTGAACCGAATAAAGATATTTATCGTCACTTTTATAATGCTGAACATATTCAGCGCTGCGTCTCGAACCTCAGACCAATCGATTCGAAGCCACATTGAGTATAAACATTTTATTTAACCAGATTGTTTAAAAACTTTTAAAACATCTTTTTGCAATCAATATTTTTTTATGAATTCAGCTTGTAGCTTTGTATGTATGTTTAACTCCTCACACAGTACTGGAGCTCCACCATTAACCATAATTTCTTCTAAAGCAACTCAAGGGAAGTCCGCACTCGAAAATAAGTTACATTAGGACACCATCTGTAGTACCTAAGCACGTTTGCTAAGTTTAATCCCAGTAACTTATGAGTGGGGTATAAACAAAGCTTCAAACATGGTGCCCCGTGCCCCCGCAGTAAGCCAGGAACACAAAATTCGATACATATTCTGGTTCAGCGACCATGAAAATCTACCCCTAGACCCCCCATCATACCTGAGTGGCCTTCCGGGCGTATTTTAGCCCCCTTAGTAAGAGGGCTACGCCATTTTTATATAAGGATAACCCAAGTCACCCCTGATTCCGAGTGCCAAGTTGGGTTCTGTTAGCTCTGAGAGGGGGTCGTAGACAAACAAACACAAACAACGTGAATTCATATAAGGGATAAATCAACCAAGGAAAAGCACAGATAATACAGAACAACATATTATGATACTGTGAATAGTTAAGTAGCTAGCTTACCTAAAAGTGATAAGAATTTGTTTACTTAAAATTACTCGTTTTTAAAGCAAAATAACTTGAAATTATAGCAATTGTTCTCGACATTTGTTTCCAATCCTTTTTGTTATGCACATGAATTTTCTTTGAATTGCTTCAGGTTCATGTATCAACATTTTTTGTAAATGTACAATATCAATCAGTATATTTGTATCTTTTTTTATTTTTTTAAGTGGAATATTATAGTAGTGACCTACAGACTGGATGGTTGTTGGCTGCCCACAGAATACATGGGGAGTCCTTCGCAGTCCAAAATCTTCGCCCGGATACAAGATACATATTTTTGGTCCGAGCAGAAAACTCCCACGGACTTGGTCCGCCAAGTCCATTTTCTGATGTAATCAGAACAATAGGTAAGCTTCTTGGTGTTAGTCGACTTTAAATGGACAAATCCACAAAACATCAATAACAACCGCTTTCTGAGCGAAACAATATAAACTTTACTTTTACTGTTGTTTCTGCTAACAAAGGAACCTGATGACACTGTTAAAAAATAGTTAGCGATGATCATTTTGACGTCACTATTTGGACCATATAACAAATTTTGTGACATCCGATTTTGATGCCCCCATCTTCTTACTTTAGGACTTCATCTTCATATGCTACCAGATTTTGACCAAGAAGAAGCACGCCTGCGCTTAAGTATGTGTATTATTGGATTAAAAGATGTTCGAGCCATTAATTCAACAACAGTTAAGCTTGCATGGGAGGTGAGTAATGCGTTTAGGGTTTTATATATTTATTTTGTTTGGATCAAAAACAAACTTATTTAACCAAACCCGTTTAAATTGTCTGGTAACGTTCGTGTTTGTTTTTTGTGATAGCTCAAAGCTACAGAATGGGCTATCTGCGCTCTGTCCACCGCGGGAAATCGAACCCCACATTTTTTATTTAATCAGTAGTGTTTCGAAATGGTTTATTTTTTTTTTTTTTACAATTTAACAGCAGCGTACCGTTTAAGCTTGCCCACGAGTGGCACAGCGGTACGTCTGCGGACTTATATCGCTAGAAACCGGGTTTCGATACCCGTGGTTGGCAGAGCACAGATAGCCCTTTGCTGTAGTTTTGTGCTTAACTACAAGCAAACAAACCGTTTAAGCTTGGAATGGTTTTCAATCAAGTAGACTCTTACAAGGGAATTTTCTGACATTATAAGTGGTACACTAATGTCTTGTTAAATCTAGTTGTTTCCCACTCTCACTTCTCCTATAACACCTACCTCTACAAAATCATTCCCTTCTAGAAGATTCTTACTGTTTAGAGACCTAAGTCCACTTAGAACAGCGTATATATATATATTGTTTGTTTTTCAAATATTACAGCCTCATCTCGACTTAAAGAAAAGCTCAGTATGAAGAATTAATTCATATATTATTTAATCGCATCTAACCCCCCCCCCCCATTCCTCACACGTACACTAACAGTTTAAACAGGTTACAAAGTCTAAAAATAGAGGCTCCTGGTTGGTCAGTGGTAGTCCATTGTGTAGCTTTGCGCTTAACAACAAACAACCAAAACGAACTTCGTCAGAAATAAAATGCTGTTAATGAAGATCACTCCCCACCCTCTCCTCCATAACCACAAAATCACTCTCCTTACTACAGATGGTTTGTTTTAAATTCCGCGCAAGCTCCACGAGGGATACACGCGTTAGCCGTCCCTAATTTATCAGTGATAGACACCACTCACCGCCAACTCTGGAGCTACTCTTTTACCAACGAATAGTGGGATTGACCGTCACATTTATAACTCCCACACAACTGAAAGAGCGAACATATTCGGTGATGGGGATTCGAACCTGCGACCCTCATATTGCCAATCGAGCGCCGTAATCACCAGGCCCAACACTTCAAAAAGATAATAAGCCTGTTAACTAATTGTATACATCGAGTTTAGCTGCTGACCAAACAGGTCGTTAACAAAATAATCATGAGTACATTCGGTTTGCCAAACTTTCCGCTAAAAACAGCGTTGTATTCTCGTTCTCAGATGCAGGGTGATCAAAACTACGTCGAGGGATTTTACATCAGATTTAGAGATGTTAATGGCGGATCTCGCAAGTACAATATGATGACGGTGTTGACTGGGTTGGCCTCTTCTTATGTCCTCACGGGCTTGCGGAAGTTCACCAAGTACGAGTTTTTTCTTGTACCATTCTACAAGAGTGTGGAAGGGCCACCCAGCAACTCTCGCTCAGTACAAACTTTAGAAGATGGTGAGTTTTGCTAAATGCTTATCGAATTATGAAATTACTAGTATAAAGATTATTATTTTTAAAATACAGTTATATGAGCTAAGCCTAATAGGAAGGGAGTATCGGACTAACATTAGGTGTTAAACGTATTTCATCTTATTATTAAAACAGGTATTTAAACAATAAATGTCTTTCATGATAATAAATTAAATATAAAGTATTTCTAAGTTGTGTTAAGTGTAAAAAACTAATTAATTAATGGCATTCTCGTAAAAATTGGTATTGCGATAAATTAGCGAACATATTACTATTGTTATTAGTATTAGTGCAGTCTCTGCTATAAAGTAATGAATACAACTTACAGATGTATTACACATCTAATAACAAATTGATTTTAAAAATCGTTACCAGAGACTAACTTACAAGCTATCCACGAACTCTTTTGCATTCTGTAGATAGGTCTTGATGGTTATTTTTCAGTCCCATCAGCGCCACCAGACAACCTTCACGTTCAGCTGGTTAATATGACAACTGCTGCCATCTACTGGTCACCTCCTCCGCCTCAGCACAGAAACGGAATATTGAAAGGATATAACGTAATATATTTAATATTTTAACTTCAACATAAACGTACAATTCTACCTGAAACCGAAAAAGTCAGTAAAATTTATTTTTTTACTTTATGAAAGAAGAAACCTGTGCTTGGTTTGGCTTCAGAAGAAAAGAAAATACTCTTCATTGTTTCGTGTCAAAGAGCATTAAAAATAAGTAAATTTAATAAATCTTAGCTGTTTCATATTTTTCTCGTATTAAACAACTTTAGCTTTCTAGAATTACAATGAAAAAACCTGAAAATGTATATAAATCACAAATAGCTAAATGAATAACGTAATTCAATTTGTTTTAATCACTTATCTTAGTCGGATAATGGATTTGTCTTAAACCAAACTTGCAAATATTAACTGTAAATAACGTAAATAAAGGCTGTGCAACAGGCTTAAAGCAATCTAAAGAAACTGGAGTGCTTTTGGGAGGTATGTTATTTGCTAGGAGGCAGGTACACTATCCCTGCAAAGAAAACTTCTCTGTCTCTATGGAATAATATTATACTATCTGTATAGAAGGAAAGTACGGTATCCTGAAGAAGGAAGGTAAATCATCTCTGTGGAAGAATATTAGAGTATCTGTATAGAAGGAAAGTACGGTATCCTGAAGAAGGAAGGTAAATCATCTCTGTGCAATAATATTATACTATCTGTATAGAAGGAAAGTACGGTATCCTGAAGAAGGAAGGTAAATCATCTCTGTGT